GAGGTCAAAGGATCAGGCCCAATTATAAAAGGTTTGTTTTTGTTTAATTTTATTTCACTGCTGATTGGCTGGAATGTGTTGGACTGCACTGCGAATAAATTGGAATCAACATAATTGGATGCATGAAAGCAAATAATGCAAACAAATGTGCTAAATTCATTTTTTCTTCTTTCTCTCTTTTTCTACCTCATTTTCTTTCCATCTCTCTTCCTCTCTCTTTTTAGTATGGGATTCTCAAATCCAGTAACTATTATTGCTCTTTCCAGTATTGATAAGGAAAGTCGTTTTTAAGCTTTTCTTTGAAGTAATAAGGAGCATCAAAATCTTAACTATGTCATTATTTTCTCTTTGAATTACATGAACAATCCATTTTAGTTGTTGCTATTGGAAATCTTCAAATTATGTGAGTTTTTGTCATTTTTGGTCACGTGCTTTATGATTCTTTTGCACCAGTTTATAAGATCTGATGTTTCATTATGTATGTATATATATATATATATATATATATATATATATATATATATATATATATATATATATTCAGTTATATGTATATGAGTTTGGGTTTCATGTTTATGTGATCGTCAGACAAACTGATTTATTAAATTTTAAAAAAAATAAATCAGTTTGTCTGATAATTGCAAAAGTGTGAAACACAAGGTTTCAAACTCATATCTATACAAATAAATATATTAGCTCTATCCCTAATATTGAGCTTTCCAGTAAGTACTGTGGATATATTATATTACATTATATTATATTTTATATATGTATTTTTTTTTTTTTTTTTTTACCTATACTTGGGTGGTGTGAAAAACACCCAGATAATACGATTTGCAAGAAAAAATATATTTGAACAAACTGATATCAGGGAAAAAAATTCAATAAATAAAGAAAAGACTAAAAACATCCATACTCCTTTAAAATAATCAACCAGCACTGCATATATATATATATATATATATATATATATATATATATATATGAAAGAAAGACAGCAATTAGTCAATCTAACCTGATTGGATCTTGTACCAAATTCTTTTTGTTCTCCAAGTTAGGAGCCTCTACTTCTTTTATGTGTTGTGTCTCTTCAGAGTGTTGGCGAACATGGCTCTCCCATTCTCCACAATTACCTATCTTGTTCTTTCATATTGCTTATAAGTTTCTGTCTGCTTGTAAATTTACATCTTGAAATTTTTACCCTAATCATCTTATGATATAGTAGAGACCAATTTGTATCATTTGTATGTTTTTAATCTGTCAAGTCAGCAACATCAGTTGTCAGTATCTTTGACTGTTCAGATGAATAATGCCAAGAACTGACTGTCTCTGTGAAATCTGAAAAATGAGAAAAACAGAACAAAAGAAATACCAATCTTCTCATAGGATATTGGTGTATGAACGCACTGGTGGGTAAACTATGAGTTATTTGATTCCCTTCCTAAAAATGTGACCAAATGAATAAACGACAGATTTTGTTTTAGAATTCTGTCTTGTTTGGGCTGAGAACCCTGTTTGATAATTTTTAAAAAAATATTTATAGATTCACCTGTGAAAGAAAACCTAATTATACTAAGAACAAGTTTTGAGTATTGCTACCACATATATGGCCATGTTAGTGATGAATTATTTCCCACCCTACAACCTCTTTCCCCCACAGCTGAAACGCCACAAGTCTCTCAATACTCTATTGCTATTTCCATGGCATGTATCCTGATGCCCATGAAACTTGGAAGAAAGTTTGAAAAAGTTCATTATTGCACTATATTTATTGACATTTCTCATTTGGTCCCAAAATGTAAGCAACAGAGTGTCAACATCAGAAAAGGTGGGGGATATATAGAAATAATATCTATCAGTCTGATTAGTCATAAAGATGGTATTTGCTTTCCACATTGGTAATTTTTTTTTAATCCTGAGTCAACCTGTGATTTTATCTAATAAAGCTGTTTGATTAATGATAACATAAATTTGAATCTTTCATATTTGACACTACATTTTATTCAACTCCTGACTTTGTCAGTTACTCTCAATCAGTGTTTGTGTGCCTGAAACATGGACCTTACATTCTTGTTTTCATATATGAGAGACTGCCCATCATGGGATGTGTGTGTGTGTATATAACTCCCTGTAATACAATTCCTTTTACAGTCAGGTTCACAAAGGCCAGGTAGCCACTCAAGGTAGAGGGTTAGGAGGCCATTTGTGCAGATACGAGGGGTTAACTGTTAACCCTAACCTTGAACAGGTTAAGATTGTAGTGATCAGGGAAACATCCTCTTGGGAATTGGTTCTACAGAGTAGTGGTTCTTGGGAAGAAGCTGTTAGAGTGAAACTTACTGATAGAATACAGAGTGAATGTGGGTGGTTTGCTACTATGTAAATGGTATAGCATGTCCTTGCCATGAAGGTTTGAATTGGTGGAACCAGAGAATGTAGTTCATCTGAGCACTTCCCATGGAAGTAGGGATAGAGCAGTAAGGGGCTTGCCACATCCCACCTGTAGGAGAGAGGTTAGAGGGTGGAGAATAATTCGTCAAGGGCTTGGAGATGCTTCTGGACTGACAAGGCTGGAGAGTGAGGTTTGGGCAGCTCCCACCCAAATATGGCAACAGTACTCTATTTTTGGCCTGATCTGGCTCTTGTAAAGGTGGAGGATAGTCAGGTAATTGCTAGCACAATACAGGGAGCTGACCATTTTACCTGCATCCTTAGCAATGAATCATATGTACAAGTTCCACTTGAGGTCAGCTGTGAATTTTAGGCCCAATAGTCTTTCAAGGCACAGTGCGTCCATGAGGCAACATATATTCATCCTGACTGGTGGTAGTTCGGTGTCCGATTGGCGATGATGGAATGTAACTAGCTTGGTCATCGAGGCATTGAATGTAACCAATCAGTTTTACCCCACGAGGTATTGTGTGCTTGATTGGAAGAAAGATCAGTTGCCAATCTCTGACCATTAAGAGTTTTAGAGGTGAACCCAATGGATCTTTCTTGGTGATAGAAGTAATCAGTATTCTATTTTTTATTATTTTTTTTTTTTTGATAAATACTGGAGATTAATGGGTCATGAAAATGTTATTTTACAAGAAAACTAAAACTAAATTCAGTACTAAAAGTTTCTTCTAATGCATTTCTTGTTTGTGGAACTCTCTCCTGGCTTTGATATTTAGGATTTTCTCGCATCTGTACTTTCCAGTTAAGCTGGTACTAACTTGGGGAACTTTCTACTGGTTTCTTACTTTCCTGTCAACTACAATCTTCAAAAATTTAATTAGAGTGTCAGTCATTATATTCTGTCTTCTTGAAGCCATCAATGTTTTCCAAGTTTTTTTTCACTCTCAGGTACCTCTTGTGGCATTATCACCTTGCCTGGGATGAAATGATTAAAAAGAAAATCTGCTTATTTTATGTTAACATTGTGTGTGCCAATAATAAATCAAAAGGTTTGAATAAATTTGATGTAAAAAAAAATCCTTGCCTTACACCCAACTATTTTTGTATATTTACTGAATTAATCTGCATGTAAGCACTTTGCTCCCAATATAAGTTCCAGATTATTTTAATATATTTCCCAAATAAATCAAGCTTCCCTATCAGTTCAAATAGTTATTCATGCCATAACTTAAAAAGAAAACACACACAAAATAAAGTTCGATGTTAATTTTTTTTTATCTTTTGTCTTACAATTAAACTCAGTTCTGGATGGAAAGTTAGGCAAGGATACTAAAGATGAATCAAAAGTAGAGTTTAAAGAGAATTTATGAATGAAACATTCAGTTTTATCATCAAAAGATGTTAACACCTCAAATTGATTGAAGTGAGGAGGAAAAAAAACTTATGCTTATTTAATACCATATTACAGTCACAAGTACTCACAAGAGCCAAAGTTGTTTGACGTAATATGGTGCCTCATTCTCTCAGCAAAGACTTAGCTCCTTCAAGGATATGTTTACATATATTGAAATAGGCGTCTGTTGGGATGGGAACTGTCATGCTGGTGTAGTCGGAAATAGTGGTTCCTGTGGGCTATAGTGTCAGAACATGCTGGTGTGAACCATGGAAAAGATTGGGGTTTCACCTGGCATTTCACCTGGTAATACATAGAAGCATCTATGCCAACTTTGAATCAATTTTAGAATTGGGTAACTTTTGTTTGATGTTATTACTGAAAAGAAATTATTCATTTTCAACTTAATCCATTCTATATTTTATATTTTTTCCATTGTACAATTAAAAGTTTACTTCAAAATATAATTTTTCCTCAGGATTAAAGTAATGCACAAACATTTGGTTGCCAAATTTGTTGTAATGCCTGCAAGATAATTGGCAAGTCTGTCTATCTTCTGCAAAGGTCCTTGTGCCAAAGACTATGATTCCTGCCAGAACAGGCCAATTCTCTAAGCAAATGGTGCCAAGAGTTGCTTATAAGATAGTTAACTGGTCTTGTCATTGAGATACTGTTTTACTGAAATTGAATTAGTTTCTTCATCTGACAGGAAACATTAACCATCATTTAGAAACTATAATAATTTATGGCAAGATGAATTTATTTTCTTTTTCTCTTCTTTCCTTTACTTGTTCTCCCCTTCATTTTCCTGTTCATTCTCCCTTCTGTTTTTTGCTCTTTCGCCCCTCATTTTTCTTTGCTTGTTCTTCCTTTTTTGCCTTTATTCATTCTCCCCTCTTTTATTCTATCCTCATTCTCCCCTCTTTTATTCTTTCCTCATTCTCCCCTCTTTTATTCTTTCCTCATTCTCCCCTCTTTTATTCTTTCCTCATTCTCCCCTCTTTTTTTCTTTCCTCATTTACCCTCTTTTTTTCTTTACTCCTTCTAATGTCTTCTTTGTTTTATCTCCCCTTTTTTCTTTGTCCTATATTCTCTCATTTTCTTTACTTCTCTCTTCTTTTTTCTTTTGGTTTTTCTGCCCTTTTTTCTTGACACTTTCTCCATTTTTTTATTCTCATTATCCCCTTTATTTTCTTTACTCCTTCTGATGACTTCTTTCTTTGCTTCGTCTCCCCAGCCTTTTCTTTTGCTTTTTACCCTCATTTTCCTTAACTGCTTCTCCCCTCTTTTTTCTTTGCTCTTCCTTCACACTTTTTTGATTCCTCTCCCTTCTATATTATTTTGGCATTTGCCACTTTTTTCTTTCAAATATCTGTTGTCTTTACACTTCATCCCCTTTTTTTCTCTTTCTCCTCTCTTTTTTTGCCTTTCTTCTCTTGTTTTTCTTTCCACTTTCTTCTTTTTTCCTTTGTCTTTTTACTTTTTACTCCCTTATTTTTCTTTGATTATTCTCCCCTCATTTTTCCTGCTCTTTCTCCCCTCATTTTTTTTCCTGCTCTTTCTCCCCTCATTTTTTTTTCCTCTTTCTCCCCTCATTTTTTTTCCTGCTCTTTCTCCCCTCATTTTTTTTTCTGCTCTTTCTCTCCTCATTTTTTTTCCTGCTCTTTCTCTCCTCATTTTTTTCCTGCTCTTTCTCTCCTCATTTTTTTTCCTGCTCTTTCTCCCCTCATTTTTTTTCCTGCTCATTTTTTACTTATTCTTTCATTGTCATTTCTTTCTTCTCTTTTCTCTCTGTTTTCTCTCCTTTGTTCATTGCCCTCTCTTCTCGCCTTTTTTCTTTTTACTTGTTCTCTCTTATTTTTTGTTTTTGGTTTTTCTCCCTACATTTTTTATAAACTTTTCCACCCTTTTTATGTTTGTTCCTCTCTTTTTCTTTGTTTCTCTTTGTTTCTCTTCTTCTCCCCTTTTTCTTTTCTCTTCTTTTATTCTTCATCTCATTTTCATTACGTTCTTTAATTTGTTTCTCTCATTTGTAATTTCCTGGCTTAGAATCAAAATGCCAACTCTTTTGTCAGCAGAACCAAATTGATGTCTGTTCTGGAAACTAATAACAATGGCTCTTTCTTTTCTTCCTGATTCTTCAATAAAATGTTAATTTCAAAAATATCTGACTGCATCTCTTTTCTCCTGCCATTTTATTTATGTTTTCTCAATTTTTCTCCCTACCATTTTATTTCCTAAGTGAAATCATTTACTGAATGCTGATTCAATGAAAACAAAATATTTGAAAGAAGACATTTAATCCAACAAAAATAACACAGAAGTTTTTCCTTCTCTAAGATGGAAGAATATGTTTGAAGACTCCTATTCAGTGGATGACTGAAACCTTGGAAACTACCAAATCATATAGGCAGCCTGGTATAGAGAAAGAAGTATTTGGACAGTTGTTAAATATTTATTTTAATATGAATCTAATGTTTTCATTTACTTTAAATTTCCACATGGCATGTATTTTGATAAAAAAATTAATAATTATTAAGAATTATTTTCGAACATACATTATCTATCTCAGTTTGTTCATTATCTATCTATCTATCTATCTATCTATCTATCTATCTATATATTTAGGCAACAAATTCTCTTTTAGGCATGCCTGATTGAATAAATTACAAACTTTATGCCTACTTATTTTTTACCATAATCCTTTCATATTCATGAATATTTTTCTATATATTACAATTAAATAAGGCAAGAAATGCACTGTAACATTGAGAATCACTTCTATTTCACAAGTACTTTCCATCTCTTTCTGAGATCATCATCATCAGGATGAAACTGGAATGCCAAAAACTATGTGTAGTTAGCCATATATATATATATATATATATATATATATATATATATAGTACCTTCTCTCACATTTCTTGCCTGTGGAAATTATTTTTAGCTTTATACTTTGAACTTTCTGGTATGTATACTTCCAGATTTAGATGGGATTGTCTTGATTTGAAGGTTTTTTAGCATTTTTTTATACAGATATGCATGTCTCAGCCTGTTCATATCTATCTCATTCTGTTCATTATCTATCTCTCCACTGTAGGCAAAAAAATTTGACAAAACCCTGCATTTCTTTAAAAACACCTTAAAATGAGATTTTGTATTTTTTTAAAGTAAAAGATAAAATTTCAGGAACCACTATGTCTTTGCTCCTCTTCTTAAATTCAAATTTGGATTTCAAATATATTTTGCTAAATTGTGAATTTTTTTCTATTAGAAACCCTATATTTTGTTTTCACCATTAACACCTCAGTAGACATTTTGAGATTACCAACATTTTCAACTAAGTTAAATGCTAATACAGTTTCTAAATGTTAACTCAACACACACTAATGCTGTAAAATAGCTGTTTCTGTTTGAAGAAAAAAAAAAGATTGTACCATTATGACAGTATTTTCATAGTTATTTTTTATTTTTTTAACTTTGAAGTCATTTGCACAAAATGTCAAAATCAAAATAGGTAAGCATTGAGGAGAAAGCACAAATTAAAATTGTATTCAAAGAAAGCTACCTTGAAAGACAAATTGCCAAAGTTATAGATTTCTAGACATGGAGTGCAATATTCATTACAGGTGCAGTTAGAAACTGGAGCAAATGTTGACTGAAAAGAACTAGATCACCAAAAGTAACAACTGCTGCTGAAGATAAACACTTGATTATTGAGAGCAAAAGAAATACAAGGAAAACTGCTCCAGATTTGACAGCTGAACTCCTGCAAAAAATCGACTTAGATCAGCTCGGCTCAGGTGGTGTATAGTAATCAAGAAACCCCTGTTACAGAAGTTGAATAAGCAAGGCATAAGAACTGGACATTGAAAAAGTGATAAAATGTATTGTGGACAGACACATCCAAATTTGAACATTTTATTAGTCAGAGGAGAATGTATGTAAGAAGAAAGGCAGGAGAAAGACTGAATGATGAATGTGTGATTCCAGTAGTTAAGCATAATGGTGGCTCTGTTATGATGTGGGGGTATTTTGGTGGAGAGGGTGCTGGAGATTTGATTCAAGTCAAGGGAATTATAAAAAAAAGAACATCATTTAATTTCACAAAGACATGCTATAACATCTGGTTTACACATAATTGGAAAAAAAATTCACCTTTCAACAAGACAATGATCCAGAATGTTCTTCTTCTAAAGAAGAAAATTTTGGAAATTTTGACTTGGCCACTTCAATCGTCTGGCCTCTCACCCACTGAATTAATATGGTATGAAATGGATATAATCTCAATTTAAGGAAATGCAGGTCATAATGATAACAAATCTTTTGTCGGGCAGAATACACTTTACTTTGTGAAAGATTAATCCCAGTCCTGCCTCCAAAAAAATAAAACACAGCTATGTATGTATGTATGTATGTATGTATGTATGTATGTATGTATGCATGTGTGTATGTATGTATGTATGCATGCATGCATGTGTGTATGTATGTGTGTGTGTGTATGTATGTATGTATGCATGCATCTATGTATGAATGCATGTATGTTGAGTATTATAACCAGAGTTAATCTACAAACTTTTAGTGATTAGGGGTTGGAGTGGTGAGAAAAGTCATTAATTGATTTCATCGAATTTAACACAAATCAACTTTCTAAAATCTCAAATATTTTTTGTACAGTTTTTTTTTTACGTTTTTGTTTTATTTTCTTCTTTTACTTTCTTGTTTTTACCTTCTCTTTTTTTATGTCTTTTTCTTTGTTTTTTACTTTTCTCTTTTTCTTTCTTTTTTACTTTTCTTTTTTTTTCTTTTTACTTTCTCTGTTTCTTTCTTTTTTCTTTTTCTCTTTTTCTTTCTTTTTTACTTTTCTTTTTTTTCTTTTTACTTTCTCTGTTTCTTTCTTTTTTCTTTTTCTCTTTTTCTTTCTTGCCATATTCTCTCTCTTTTTTGTTTTTTCCTTCCTTTCTGCTTTTTTCTTTCAATTTTACTTTTCTTTCCCTTCTTTTTATTCTTTACATTTTTCTTCTTTTTCTTTCTTTTTTTTTGTCAATCAGTTCACCCCAAGTAAGGTAATAATGCCACTAAAATGCAAAGGGCTACTAAAATTGAAAGAGAAGGAAAAGACTAGAATGAAACAGAAACCGGATAATAGTATAAATTTAAGATTTTAACAGATACATTAGAAGTGAATTAGAGTTGAAGTAGGGTTTTTCTTTTTCTTTCTTTTTTGTCTTCTTCTTTATTTTCTTTTTCCTTTACTTTCCACTTTTTAGATTGTTTTTTATTTTCTTCTTTATCTCCTTGTTTCTTCTTTGTATTTAAATATTGGCTTTTTGTCACCTGTAACCGGATATCTTTAGAAAATGGCTCTAAGGTTTGTTTTTTTGCCTAATGTAGATAAATTCAATTTTACATTAATGCATTTTCCAATCAATTTTCAAACTAATTTTGGACCTGCAGCTTCAGCATGAATAAAGGCATTAATCAGGAAATTGATTCACTTTATTATAGAGAAAGTTTGAAGCCTTAATTTGAAACTTTGAATCCTTCTATTGTCATATCTAGTCTGGTGCCACAGCTGTTTATCTCGAGGTTCTTGACAAAATCCAAGGAAGGATCTGTAATGTAATCAATCCTGACTTGGCGTCTCATCTCCAGTCACTTTCTCACAGACATGATGTGGCTTCCCTCTGTCTTTTCTACAAATATTTTAATGGCAACTGCTCTGACGAGCTTTTTTCACTGGTGCCAGAACTACATAAATTTAAGCTTGCTACTAGACTAGCCTCTAGGTCCCATCCTTTTACCGTTAAAATATTTAAATGAATGTAACCTCTACTTCTACTCCAACAGCTTCTTTTCTCACACTGTGGAACTCCCTTCCGCTTACTTGCTTCCCTGATAACTACAATCTTCCAAAATTTAAATGCAATGTCAATCGCCATCTTCTGATATCTTGAACCCCGTTCATCTTTTATCTTTTCCTCATTCCCCCTATACACAGTTTTTTCTCTCACCTTCACTCCATGTAACCTTCTGCAAACCAATGGCACTCCTGCCTTGCTTGGGGTTAAATGTTAAAAAAATTCCAAGTCACAACTGGTGAAAGGTGACAACATTTGAAGTCTCTAAGAAGCATAAATGTGGTAAAAATTTTGATATCAATATGACCTGTGAGTGTCAAATTCTCCAAGCCCCCCTTCCTCATTATATGTCCCATAAATTTCAGCTCTCTCTGATTCTGAACATAGATAGATTTTTTTTCCATTTTCCTTAAAATATCCTTGTTGCTCATACTCTGTGTCTCTGCTATCCTCATCATCCTTCTGCAAAACAACATTTATATTGCCTTCAGTCTTCTATTCATCTGTGAGGAAATTGTCCAGTATTCACTGCCTTACAGAAAGTGACATTTTGTATCAGTTTAGCACTCTTTTAATTTTCCTGTTTCTTAATACTTTGCTTAGCTTTTGGAAGTCAGTTTTCACTCTCCCAATGCACAGTTGGATTTTAGTATCACATTTTCTATCTTCTATTGAATTACTTCAGATATTTTTTTTTTTTTTTTTTAATCATTTCACCCCCAAACAAGACAATACAGCCACTAAGATGCAAGGGGTTACAGAGTTTGAAAGAATATAAGAAACAAAAAACACTATTAAAGAGAGCTTAATAAAAGAATTAAGAAGACAGAAGATTACAATTGACATTGCATTTAAATTTTTGAAGATCAAAGTTGACTGGAAAGCAAAAGTTTCACAAGTGAGAAATATGAGACAAGAAACAATTAGCATAGAACTTATGGTTACATCTCACCATTTCAACTGTAGAATGATGAGACCTATCTGACAATCAAGTAATGCAAAACATGCTATATGAAACAAGAAAATGCTATACATTGGGAGAGAAGGTGTAATCTGGTATGGCAGAGTAATGGATAGAAACTCGGAATCAGAGAGACGAGTTCGAATTCCAGTAGAATCCATTACATTCACTTACATACTAATCCCCTTGGGAAAGGTATTAATCCTCTTCTTCTCTACCCAGCTATGGGTAAAAAGCAGGACAGACCAGGTTCTATAGCCTTGGGTGGCAACTGGTCTACCTCAGAAAGAAATGGCAACCAACTGCAGGAAAAAAATATGCCTTGTCAGTCATGTATCGAAAGCTACATGATCACCTAAGCACGTATAACTGAACTGATGCTTAAACCCTCAGTCATGATGACTTGTGACTTTGTGTCAACACAACCATTGAGGACTTCCAAACTTTTTTGTCTATCCAATTTCACTGACAGGACTTAGGTCAATTCATGGTACAGATTTTCAGGCACTTTCCAATGATGCTGCCCACTGGTATCACCTCCCCTAGATCGATAACATCAACCTGACAAATCAAGATTTAAACTCAGGTTTCATGATCATTCTCAGCATTCGACCACAAGTCTTTATATAAGATTCTGTTCAAGATTCTGTTGAAAGCAATCGAGGCATTTCAGAAAATTGTTCACACAAACAGACACACGCAGGTGTTAGAAATGCTGAATGAATACTGTGATGTCAGTTAAATCTTGGCTTTAGCCCGAGTGAAACTGTCAAATACTTCTCAACTTGTCTTTCTGTCGGAAAGGA